GAAGACTTTGAAGCACTCTACGAAGATCTCAGCAGGCTGCGCGAGACGCGCAAAGCCCGGCCAGAAAGCCGGATGATTAGCGATGAGGGCGATACGGAGTCAATGTCTTCATACCCGGTCAGGGAGAAGTACGCTTCTGGTGGCACTCTAGACAATTTCTCCCTCGATACTGCGCTAACCATGCCTTCTACTCCACACCAAGACGGTAGCGAAAAGATGCAAGAAATACGAGAGGAAATGCAGAACAAGATAGATCAATCAAGGGATGACTTCCAGGCCAGGCTGAAAGCTGACGAGGACGCCAAGGTGGAGTTGCAAGAGCTGCGCGCTGCCAAAGAGGCAATGCAGAGGCAAATGAAAGCACAAAAGGAGGCATTTCAAAGGCATTTGAAAGAGCTTGGACACGACATTCCGCTTGAGATAGACGAGGACCTGGAGATCAAATCAGCAAACGCACAAAAAGAACAAGACGCACAAGACGCACAAGACGAACGCCAACTCGAACTGATACGCTCTGTCCTCAAACAGTGGCGGCGACGGAAATATGTCACCATGGCAGAGACTCTGTTGCAAAATGCTGCGATTCTCAAAGAAGCTCAAGTCATGAGCCAACAAATGGACAAGCGAGTCGTATTCCAGTTTTGCATTGTCGATGTTGGCCACACAGTCCCTTCGTCCTACGACTTGGTGAACATGGGCATTCCAGGCGAAGATGACGAATACCTTGACAGCCAGTCCAAACCATGCGTTGGTGTACGCGTCATTGACTTCAAGAATGAGGTTGTTCACCTGTGGTCATTACAGAAGCTCCGCGACCGTGTACGGCGGATGCACCAAGTGCATCAGTATATGAATCGCCCAGAATACTTTCAACATTTCAACCCGGAATCGCCTTTCTCTGACCCTTGTATGCCCGAGTTTACACGGATTGGCGATGTCGATGTTCCACTTGCAGCCGTGTTTGAGTCAAGAGTTCGAGACTTCAGCCTCGATGTAATATCGCCATATACCTCGAACCCCATTGGCATCATCCGCTTGTCGTTAGAACCTTCATCCGCCGAGGCGCCTTCAACCACACTGAAGTTCAATGTTGGCATGCATGAAATGGTTGGGTTTTCAGAACGGGAGGGAACAAAAGTGCATGCTGTGCTTTTCGTGCCCGGCATCTCGGATGAAAGTGGCGCGACCACTACGACCTGGATTACCGATTTCAACGAAAGCCCCATTCGCTTTGAAAGTGTGCATAGCATGAGCCTTCCCTATCCAAGTCCACGCGACACGTTCCTCCGAATCTCTATCTTTGCCAAAGTCACCGACATCCACCTCGACATGCTGCTTAGCTGGGATGATATGCGCGACTCAGCCGAGAAGCCAAAGCAGAAGCGTCGCAATGCACGTCTACCGGAATCAGAGTTCTACACAGAAGACACGCACGACATCTTTGCCCGCATACAGGTTCAAGAGATTACGGACGATGGAACCTACCAGCCGGTTGAGGTCACACAGAGCAGCGTCATGGACCAAGGCGTTTACCAGCTCCACCAGGGCCTCGCCCGTCGCATTGTCGTGAATCTTACCCATACTTCGGGTGAGACCATACAGTGGGAAGGCGTCAAATCTCTGCGTATGGGTCATATCCGGATGGTCGATGCAGCAGGCAATTGCCCTAATTATGGCTCACCGGTCAAGGAAGTCCCAGTAGATCTTATTTCACCACCCACTGTCCGAAACAATGCAGACGGCACAACAAATGTCAAATTCGTTGGACGATGGGATAGTACTGCACACGCCTCGCAGATCCTCGACCGTGCGACAAAGGATAATTTCCGCGTTCGGGCCACCCTTCTCTTCGACGTCATGTCCTCGAAGCTTATTGAGCCCATGACCTTTTCGTTTGACCTGTTCGTGCAGATCCGTGGTCGATCATACATGCGTCCAACCTCGCTCTTTTCCCTAACCAACATCTGGAACACGGTCAAGATTGTTCACTCAACAGTCGGCATCTTCAGTGTGGCGATACGTCCAACATCTGTAAAGCGCGCAACAGATCTCTGGCGCATGAATACAAAGGACGACTACATCAAAGGTGAAGAGCAGCTCGCAGGCTGGACTCCCCGTGGCGTTTCGTTAGTACGAGATTTCATCAACGTTGAGAAGCGCCGCCGCCGTGTTGCTGAGATAGAAACGGCCCGTTCCGTCCTCTCCTCCAAGGCTCTCAGCATACCCACGTCAGCACTAGCATCTTCGAAAGACAAGCCACTAGACGATGCCCAGAGAGCACTCCTGCAACGCATCATCTCTCTGTGGAAGACTAAAAAGGCCCCAGCGGAGATCATCCTTAACTCGACGAACCTCGAGCCACCTACAAACGGTGCTGCTTTTGCACCACGTTCTTCTTCCCCCTCGCCAAGTCCAACGCCTAGTCTGACGGCGACGGTACGCTTCATACCTAAGAATCCAAACCTTATGAAGGCATCGTATCTTCTTACGCCAGATCCGACAAACACCCGCTGGACTCGGCGATATGTGGAACTGCGAAAACCGTATCTGCACATCTACTCCACAGATGGCGATGAGATCAACGCCATCAACATTAGCACTGCGCGCATCGACCATTCTCCTCAGATTGCAAAGTTGCTCGGTGGAGTGCAGAATCAACACAGCAACAGTGCAAACGGAAGCGGAGGTGCTGGAGTGTACAAGGACGTCGTGTTTGCTGTCTTTGCACGATCAAATACGTACATTTTCCGGGCAAGGAGTGAGCGGGAAAAGATAGAGTGGATTTTGAGATTAGACCAAAGTTATTTCAGTAGTGGTGAAGGTAGTGAGGAGAGTGCTTAATGACTAGAGGGACTGTAGGGGGTGTAAAGGGTGAACTCTAGTGCGCGAACTTACGTCTATTTCTTGAGCCTGATTTTGAAACAGCTAGTAATTTTTGGCTGTAAGATAGGATATTGTTTTCCTAACCTCTTCGGGCGTTTCCTTTATATAGGCTTTTTTTGGGATACCCAGAGCACAGTTGCTCATTTGGCGCGATCGCTGGAGTAGAGATCGAATTAACCTTTATCGCTAAATGTACTAGTACGCTTGCACGTGTATCGCGTGGTCCACGTATCGTTTCTGAACTGAAATGACATTGACTGATTAAAAGCATTGGCAACAAGAACCATGCTCACTTAAGAATTCTCCTCACAGTAAGGTCGTCCGATAAGCCATTCGCCGAAGCACTGCCGAGGTTAGCAATGAATCGATGGAGCTTGTTCATACAACACCCCGACTCAAAATTAAAACCCAACAGCTAGGCAGACCCACTATATGCCTTCGCAACTAATCTAAGGAACTAGACTGAACAAGAACAGATCGTGGTCCACAATGGCAGAGGCAGGAAAAGAGAAGACACGACATGAGTTGGACAATGAGAAGCTTGGACAATACCTGAAGCAAGAGATAGCTGGAATCAAATTACCAGTGACATCAACAAAGATTGGCTATGGGCAAAGTAACCCTACATACTATGTTGATGATGCCGCCAAGAACCGGTACATCTTGAGGAAGAAACCCAGCGGATCCATCATCTCGCCCGTCGCACATCGAGTTGACCGCGAATACAACGTGATCAAAGCTCTGGGTACAGTCGATGGCTTCCCCGTACCAAAAGTATACTGCCTATGCATGGATCCCGATATAATCGGAACCGCATTCTACGTACGTCACCACAAAGCAAACCCACCTTACACCACAGCCCACTAACATGCCCTGACCATCGTTGAAAAAGATGATGGAATATGTCCAAGGCCGCATAATCACAGACCCAGCCCTATCAAACCTCCCCAAGCAAGACCGCCGCGCCGCCTGGAAATCCGTAATATCCACCTTAGCCTGGCTCCACTCCATCTCCCCCTCGTCCATCGGCCTCTCCTCCTTTGGCAAAAAAGAAGACTTCTACGCCCGCCACTGCACCACCTTCTCGCGCATCGAAGCCCAGCAAGCCGCCGTCCGCGACGTTACCACCGGCGCGGCACTCGGCCGCGCTCACCCGGACTTTGACGAGATAGTAGCATACATACGGCGGCATGCACCGACAGGCCGCAGCAGCATCATCCACGGCGACTACAAGTTCGATAACATCATACTGCACCCTACTGAGCCGTGTGTGATTGCGATTCTAGATTGGGAGTTGAGCACGATTGGGCATCCGTTGCTCGATACCGTGTACCTTGTTAGTCCGTATTGGAACCGGGCGAGTAGGGTTATGCCGGTGCCTGGGGCGGAATCGAGAGAGGGGTTGGAGGTTTATGATGAGGAGAAGTTGGAGGAGAGCGGTATGCCGAGTATGGGGGAGGTGCTGGATGTGTATATGGAGAGGGCGGGGTGGGATCCGAGGGGAGATGGGTGGGAGGTTGCGAAGGTTTTTCATTTGATGAGGGTGAGTGGTAGTTATTTCTTTGCATACTTTTTTTCTCGTCTTTTTTATGGTTATTTGAGAAGTTGCTTGAGTAGTTGCTTCTGCTTTCTTTCGAGGAAGATGGTCGACTTGATGGGTCTTCTTAGAGGGCAAAGTTCGCACTCATGAGAAGTAGTCTTGCTGACGCAGTGACAGGGAAGCGTGATAAGCCATGGGATTCAAGCCCGTACTATCAGCGGCCAGGCGAGCAGCGAGTTCTCGTATGTGTATTTCGATAACACCAAGCGCGGACTTGACGAAGCGATTCGCATGGTTCGCGAGATGAAGGCGAAGGAAGATGTAAAAAGCAGCTTGTAAGAAGACAAGACAGAAAAGGCAAAGAAATGACAAGTACATGATGAGCTTCTTCCGATGATTCTGAGATGTTTCTCACAGCATCAACTGTGTATAGCTAAAATGTGCACTGCTCTGTGTCACTGTTCTCGCCCATTTACACGCCCTTTCCTTCACCCTCTCCCTCCCTCTCCGGTTTCCGCCTTCTCCCGCTTCCGCCCTCTCCTTTCCTCCTTCCCCGCTGGCATACACACTCCTCTACATGTTACATCATGCACCGCGCACCGTGCACGCAACCCTCCTCTCCTCGTTGCGACCCTCCCCACCCTCTCCTTCGCCATTCCTTCCTCGCGCTCAACGGATACACCCTCTCCGCGCCCGGACTGCATCACCCCGAACTCACCTTCCTCTGTCTTCCCCGTCCTCCGCTCCACTCCACTCCACCATCCCCAAACTCCTCCTTCCCCATCCCACCCCAACCATTCCACTCGCCTTGAGCACAAACCCCCTTTGCCTCCACCTGCCCCTTCGCAGTCCATTCCCCTTCCCCAGCCACCTCTCTAACGTCACTACAATGCATCGCATAACGGTGTAACCCACCCCCAATACCCACATTCCCAATCACGCCCTCATCCCCCGTGAAGCGCTAACCCCCACCGGTCCATCGACACCCTCAGCTCCAAAAAAATTCCCCACCTCCCGATAATCCTCCCTAATGACAAACCCACTTAAGCCCAGAACTCACACTCAAGACAATCTTTTTCTGTCAGCCCGCCAGTCAAGACAACCTTCCTATCAAACCCGCCTTGGCTAAACAAGCCAAGCCTTTGCAAACCCTTCTTGTTACTCACCACCCCCAGCCTACTATAAACCCGACCATCCCAAAACAAGAAAAAAAAACAAGCCAAGTCTTAGAACAGTAAATCAAGCAAAATTTACAAATCCCATACCCCTCCCCCTGCTGGTTCCCTTTTTCACCCCCTGAAAAAAAAATACAAGGCTGGTGGCATTGCCAGTTTGGGGGGGGCTTCAACACACAGAGTACAAAAAAAAAGACCTACGTAGAAAAGGGAAGGAGGCCTCTCCCCTCCTCCCCCACCCCGTTAGGTCGATCACACAACCTTAAAACAGGCTTTGCGCACGGACGGGACTGCTGCTGCCCGCCAACACTTATTTTACCTTTACCTGTGTAGAGACTAACCCCAACGCGAAGTGTCGCAGCATCACGTATGTAAGCACGGATCCGTGTACGGGTGACCAACGGGTGCGAGTAACTACTACTATTTGGAATTCTCGAATTTTAAATGGTGGGGGTTTTATTTCATATCCTACTACGAACTCTCGCTACATAACTTACTATTTCGAATTGTGTTGCGAAAAAATAAATAGATTGTTACACTGTATGATAGGTAAGCGCCCTGCGTTGCGGGACGTTATTGCTCATTGACGCGCTTGTTGCCAAGATTGCGTTTTGGGCTAGTTTTGCGTCGAGAAATGGTGGGGCCCGCAGGGTAGGGTAAAGGTGTAGCGCAAGGCGAGGAGGGCGACTCATTGTGTGTTTGCGATAAGTGGGGGTGGGCGGTTCGTGGGGCGGTTAGGAAAGGTGCCAGATGGGGGGGGGCTCTGGATCGGGGTTTTGTGGTTTTGCTTTGTCTCGAGGTTTGTTTCGCACGTGTGCGAACTTGTCGGTTGAATTGCCAGGGTGATAAGGGCAAGGGAGGGAAACAGATGATGTGTAAATCAGAAAACCGTATGACATGTGAACTTGGGTGCGGGCTTGGAAGGGCTTGTCGAGTCTTGTTGCCTTGTTTCCTAAGGAAGCGGCGAGGAAGCGGCGAGGAAGCGGCGAGGAAGCGCAGAGGATGGGCAAAACGGAACTTTTTTTCCTGTGATCAAAGGGAGATCTGGATGGAAATGGTATTTTTTTTACAATGGAAAAAAGAGAAAAAAAACGGGAAACGGAGAAATAATAATCAAAAACATATGTGTATGGGAAGAGGCAACGAAATCGCGCGTATGCATTTTGAGTGTTTTTTTGTCTTTCTTCTTTTTTCTTCTTTCGAAGGAAAAAAAAATTGTAAGGGATGTTGGCTAAATCTAAATCATTTCCATTGCCCATAAGGACGACGACAACCGTATGTCGGGATTTCCGCTCGTGTTCAACATTTCTGGGATGACCCTCGCCCAATCATCCATCGCCCTTGTCCTTTTCTTCGCGCGCAAAGCCACCCTAACAAACCGACTCTCATCTACCCCCCGAACCCATCAACTCTAGCAAAAAAAAAAAGCCATGTATACGAGCCGGGGGAGAGAACCAGGAAAGAGAGAAAATTAAAAAAAAAACACCAAGGGGAACTTGAGTGTCCAATTTCGCTGCCGTCTCCCCAAATTTTTTAGGATTTCTTGTGACGCCGCGCTATGCAAGTGAAAGCAACACAAAAGACAAACAGAATAACGACCACAAGGCAAAAGAAGCAGTGAAAGACAGGGGAGATGGAGGAGAGAGATAGAGGATGGGTTGACAACGAAGTATTGTTTGTCTGATTACAAGAGTTGTTTTGCACCGAAAAAAAATGCATTCTAGAACGCCGAAAGATACGCCTACCCCAGTCCCGCAAACAAAACGGGGCAGAAGATCTAACAAAAGCTTCGAGACCTGCTGGCGGCTTTAAAAACGGAAATGAACAAGGAAAAAGAGAGAGGAAAAGGAGATGGGGAGATGATAGTGAGAGAGATAAAATAGCAACCAACAAGACCTATCGGGGTATAAAGAGCGTGACTGCTTTTGATCTCACAGAGGAAAAAATGATGTGTCAAAGTACAGCGGGTGAAACGAAGAAAGGATAGGAAAATGCGCCCAACACAAAAAGAAAAGGGTAATCTAAGAGTGCGTGGACTCAGTGGTCGGCAATGTCCTCGTCCATGCCTGGGTAGATGATATCTGCCACATAGATGGCTTGGATGTGCTTGAAGAGGACAAAGGCCCACATGGTGATGACGGCAATGGACAAACCATTGCCGACATACAGTACCGTTTCATCTTTTAGCTGGTTGCCAATTGAGATGGTGGCAATGACGAAACCAGTGTTGGGGAAGACCATGGCCCACCATCCAAGATGGAAGTAAACGGCCCATGAGTTGATGACCTGAGAGTACTTGTTAGAAACAATGCGAGTGTATACATGTGCGTAGAGGAACTTACAGCAATGAGAGTAATCATGAAGAACCACATGGCAAGGACCCAGAGGAAGAGCGCAACAACAAGCGCAAGTGTCCTAAGGAGCTTTGCGTCGATGAGGCCATCACCCTGGAGGTCAAAATCGTCGGGGAGCGCATTAGCCATACCAATCAAGGCCAAGCACGTGAAAGAAGGCGGGCCGACTGCGATAAACATGGCACCTCGATGTTCGCGATCGGGGTATCCGACCTGCATCAGACGACCAATGTAATGCGCATACATGAGAATGGCAACGGTAAAACCCAGACCCTGGCACCCCAAGCCGGCGACCAGAATCGGCATTCTGGCAGACACTGGCTGTTCCTTTGCAATAACCGATGCGATCGTACCAGCAAGCATAATAGGGAAGATGGGCAGGAGCCACGAAGGCATGAAACTGGTGAGCTTGTAGGTATGGCTGCAGAAGAGGAACGAGTACTGGAAGGAGGCCAGGCAAAAGGTGATGAAGGTGTACGACCAGAATGCGACCGCCATGGTGGTAACGGCCCACGAACGGTTTGGATGGTTGGCGTCGTACGACTCGATGACGTATTTCTGGGTTCCGGTGATGATCGTTGCGATGGACAGGAAGAAGGGACCGAGGAAGAGACCTTCACGCTCGTGTGAAATGGATGCTTTGAAGGAGCCCGCGTACTTGGTGAAGCGGAGAACCATGGTCATGGTGACACCGGTGAACAGGAGAAGGTTGAGAATGTAGAAGACGGCACCAATGGTCTTGAGACCGGGGAAAGGATGCGGTTGGATGGCAATTAGCGTACCAAGACCACCAGTAGCCATGGTAAGAGTGTAGTTGGCCCATGTATAGTGCGCCAGCCTTTGGCCAGGAGTAAGGTAGGGCTGGTTCGGGTCTTTCTTTCCAGGAATCTTGGTGTGCTTGTCCCATTCTCCGTGACCGTGCCCATCGCCGTGCTTGAGCTTCTCGAGGTCAATCGTGTCCATTTGAGGCGCGGGCTCAGGAGCTGGATCCCGAAAGGGGTTTTCTGTCGGTCGGTGCAACTCTTTTACGTCAACAGGGTAGCCATTAGCGTCCACTTGGGCGGGAAAGTATGCATTGTTGGATGCATAAAGGGGTGCGGGCGTTTGGACCCATGTATTAGAGCGACTTGTCTCACCAGAAGGAAGGAAAGCTTGGTTCTGGGGAGCAGCAAGAGGAGGCGGGGGAGATGAGTAGTGGTATGGGTTTGGAGGTGGCTGCTGTGAGGGTTGTTGGTACTGTAGCACCTGTTGTTGTTGTGGTGGTGGTGGTGGTACTTGTTGCTGTGCCTGTGGTTGTAGCTGAGGAGGGGGGGACTGCATTCCTTGCTGAGGGCTTGGGAATTGAGAGTAGTTGTTCACGTCCCGGCTGTTCTGAGGAGAGTGTTGAGCCGATCGAGGAGCAGGCGGCATGCCATACTGCCCTTGGTTTGCTGGTGTCTGCATCCTAGGACCGGTAGGAAGGCCGTATGGGTTTGACTGACGGGCCTGAATGGGATATTGAGGTTGTGGTTGTTGTTGTTGTTGTTGGACGGGAAAGGGTTGTTGTTGTAGTTGAGGTGATTGTTGCTGTTGCTGTGGTGGATTGGATGTGAGAGGATTGGCTGTGAGAGGATACTGGTCGTTGTTGTACGTATCCTTTTCGCCAAAGGATAGGCCTTCCGGCTGGTAACGGCTTTCCATTGCTGTAGTGAGTGAGTGTAGAGGTGGTGACCTGCACCGTGGAAGACAGGCAAACGGAAAAAGTCAGCGATAGTGGTGTGAGAGGCAAGGAAAACGAAACGTGCTGTAGCAAGAAGGAGTGGTAAGTAATAAGACGGCCCGTAGGAGTAGGCAGTGCCAGGGACTATAGCAATGTAGGAGCCAGGGCCGAACAAGCTCAACATAGGCTGGATGCTTCTACCATTCGGTCCTGTTTCGAACCACGCGCCGTCCGGGCACTAAAAGCAGCCGGCAGCTAGTCAAAGTGCCCCGAGTCGCCATGGTAGGACTTCAGACATGCTTGGCGTGGGTAGAGTGTTGCGTACGCCCTCCCTGGCATCCCTACTGACACTGGGCCGCTATCAAAGCACGTCCCTTGAGATAACGATCTGAGGTTGCCTTCGCTTCATAATGCGCCAGAAACGGAAACTCCGCCCTGATAGTGCCCGACACGCCAAGATGTTTGAGCCCGCAATTGTGAATTGGAGGTCAAGGGCAAGCGCTTGTTGAGGTTGATTGACATCCATTGTGGCCAAGTTGCTTGCGCATTCCGAGACGTCACGGTCTGAGAAGGACAAATCTGTGAAGGCATGTCATTGCTGTACGGCGGTTCCACCAGTGACGACATGTTGGGAATTGCTTTTGGCGGTAGGGTTGTCTCACCCAAATGATATCTTCACATGCTGGTCAGCAGACAGCGCCCGAACGGTCAGCCTCGAAGCAAGAACAGGACCGATAGAATGCGGACGTCTCGGATAGCGTCCGCGGTGCTATAGGAGTCTCTCACCAGTATCAGTGGGACCCCTATCAAAGGCAGGACGAGCAGTGTCCGATTTGGATCACTGTGAGCAGCGGCGACGGCGGCGGCGGCGACGGCGGGCGAATGGGCTCCGTGATGGCCAAGGCGCGGACCCTACCAGGCGGGGCCTTGGCAGCAAGAGATTGAGATGCGGCTCAAGTTGTATAGCGACGGCGATTCGCGGTGAAAATAGGGGGGCTTGAAACGGGTGACGAAACGCGTAAAGCGGACCCTACTGTGTCGTCTTTGATGCCAAGGTTCACGCGCCAAACACAGGCCCACTGCTTTCACGCCCGACGCAGCCACTTCCGCGTCTTACAGGATAAGGTTTGGGAAACCTTGGCTTACATGCTTGCGTATGCACAACACCGTTGGCTGACGATCGCCACCAGGGAAACTTGACGTCGTCTCAAAAGTGCCAGAAAGACGCATCCATGGTCCACTTTCGGGTTTGATCTTGGTTCACACCCAGCCATGTCTTTGGTAGTACGTACCCTACTCGGTCCTCGCCCTACAGCCTACAAGCGACAAGCGTAGCGGGTGTCCCCCCCCCCTATGCATGTTCCATAAGCTTGTCTATACCTGTAAATTGCGATGGGCGAGCGCGTAGCGTCAAGGGGGGGCTAGTCCTACTCGCAGTACCATAGTAAGGTTTATGCTATTGACCTGTGTACTTATCCGCTTCGTCGATGATCAAAAATGGACCGCAGATCGTCTTCGCCTTTGCGCGTCATGGCTATTCCCGGAAGAATGGAGGCAGATGTGCTCTCTGCGTTCTGCTTTGCTCGGCAGTGGGTCTCTTGAGGCGATGAGCGTGGGCAGTGCAGTCGATGGCATTCGCGGCCAAGATGTACTACTAATTAATTCGGACCGTGACAAGTCATAGCAACGCTGTCGCTCATCAATTCGACCAAGCGTATAAGTGCGCAATACGAAGAGTCTATTTAACTCATCAGTCAATAACAGGCCGCTATACCTGTGAACAAGCGACCCAAAGGGTTTATGGGCAGCAGCGGCATCATCCCTGGACGGTGATCAACATGAGGCTGACAGGCTAGCAGACAACGGGCTGTTCCGTGCCCTTGGCGACAGTGTTCCTTGGGCGCCCCTCCACATGGCAACCTTGTTGGTGGCCACACGTAGCGCAGCACTGCCCAGCCACCAACAAGTCAGTTTGTCCCTAGCTACGCTGTAATAAATAAAAAAAACTACATATGCAACCCGCCGATGTCTAGTCTTGTCGTGCACAAAGCCTTTCTGAACCCGATGGTCGCGCCCAACTCCGCCGTGCTGTCTTTTCTCGTACCGTCATTTGTCTAGTGTTTCACTGGGCCCTACTCTCCTTGGCCTTTGTTTGCGCAAGTGGCCATAAGGGCATCCCCTGGTGCCCAGAGATTAAGGTCTGCTCGCTAATTCGTTACATAAAATGCGGACTAACTTGAACCCTCACCCTCCGGCATACCCTAGGAAATGCATCATATCGAGCCTCTATGTCTCAAACGCGCTCACTATGTATTTTTCCGCCGTTCATCTCCTAGAACCATGGCCAAATCACATAAGAAGAGCCTAGAAAGTCGCACAGCCTAGTGGAGCCATGCAAATACAGTAGCCATATTCGCATTTATTCAGAAAAAAAACACACAGCCTTTATACGACTCCGAGAACTCAATACCTGCTAATTCCTTCTAATCAATCCCAATTTTCTACATCTTACTCGCCTCGCGAAGAACTTGCTTGGTCAGCATCTCGCCCTGTTTCCTTTGCTCACTCAGCCGGCCCATTTTTAAGAGGTTTGCTATTATTTCTTCGTCTCCATGATGACTGTTATGCTCGAATTCGGGCTCTTCTCCATACGCGACACGTGCTGCATCGACTAGAATCCTAGCTGTCATTCCAAATATCCTGAACGTGGTGAGACTGTCAATGGCTGTGGGTGCAGGTCGAGCATCCCCCTTAGAAGGTTCCATGTTGTCGGCCAAAGGTTCTGCGGATTGCGACGGCTTGCGCACCAGTGAAGGCGAATGTGGAATTCTTGGCATATAGAAGTTATGCATCCTCCAGCGTGATTCGTGCCAGTCTGTCCAAGCACCCCTATACCACTTCTCTGGTCTACCGTCTTTTTGCACGGGCGCTGGGCCGTTGCCCTCCCATTCTTTTCGCAGGAAATTATGAAATGGTGCAGTAAAAACGGCGGCTACTTCCTTGGGATCGAGACGAGGTATCAGCGTCTCTTCGACAGAGGCATTGCTAACTTCAGAAGAAGCAGGGTTGATCGACGACCCACGGTCTGGGCCAAGAAAAGCAACGCAAGGTCGGACTGCAAGTTCCGTCTTTGCCAAATTGGTAGGCAGCTCGCAGAGATGCTCTAACTTAAAGCCCCGAAGTTTTGCTTCGTCCAACGGAAGTCCAATCTCTTCGTAGGCTTCGCGGCGGGCGACTTCCCAAGGTGATTCCTCCAACGTATCTGATTTACCTTGGCAACGTCAGGGCATAGCCATGATACAGATTAAGTGACGTACCGCCGGGCAGTGCTACTTGTCCCGAATAATTCCGAAGCTGCGCACTCCGCACTGTAAGCACCACCTTGAGCTCACCATGGCTATCGGGGAAGAGCAGGATGAGCACCGCAGCGCGTCGAGTAAGGGGACAGTTATGCCATTGCGTCGCTGGCGGTGTGTACTGGCGGAGACGACACAAGGCTTGCTGCAAGACGCATCAGTAGCTGTAGTGGCTGGGCGGTGGGGAGGGGAAATGTTGTAACGCGTCATGCAGCGGTACAACAAAGCGCTGACATACCGCTGATCTTTGGGAAAGCGCCATGCTTGCCATCACCTTGCGTTGAGCAAGCCATGTTGTTGATCTCATGAGATATGACTGGTGGTTGTAGCGCGCACGAGACGTCAGTGGGGTTGATGTCATATGCCGAGGCTATCAATACTTAGGCGAAATGCAGGAACCTCATGGCAACCCCGACAACGTCTAGCTGACCACAGTATTAAAGTTTGGAACGGGTCGGTCAAGACATTCAACTGTCATCGTTGCACATCACCGGCACGCAGCGGAAGTAGCATGACTTTTGAACAACTTTCATACAATTGAATCGCATCTCTATATGAAAGGAAACTCCCAATCGTTATCATCCGCATGCGTAGCCATGGAAGATTGCTGCAGATCCCCCTACGTATGCATACGTCGACAACTTGCAGCAGCTCCTCAAGGACATAGGAAAGTAACATGAAATTGCAGAAGAAGACCCATCCGTCAACTAAGCATCCTAAGTCTATCATATGCAGACATTCTTTTAGGGAAATCATTTCGCACATGAGAGACCAACGCCAAGATGCCGCGATGTAAGGACGGCTGCTCGTCCCACCCCGAACCACTTTTGAACCAGACCAAACAGAGAGCACCACCTGGCCTTGCAGGCGTGCTCGAATTAGAAGACCACCGTCTCTGCACCGTTACGCCGCCTGGACCGCAGGAGGGGTAGGGAGAGACGGTAGGATGAATGCAGTATAGGAACAGCTTCTTAGATGAGGTCTGTGAGTGCTGTTAGCAGCTAAACTTAAAAACATACTCGACTTGGGCAGAAACTTACCAGCCACGTTCATGGGCATCTCCTCGATCTGTGTGCTGTAGAACTGCTCAATTTCGCGCATCATGCGGACATCGTCGGCAGTGACGAAGTTGATGGCAACACCCTTTCGTCCGAAACGTCCACCACGACCGATGCGGTGGATGTAGTTCTCGCGGTTGGCGGGGAGGTCGTAGTTGATGACAAGGGAGACCTGCTGGACATCGATACCACGGGCAAGAAGGTCAGTGGCAATGAGGACACGGGAAGATCCGGAACGGAACTCCTTCATGATGACATCACGCTGGGCCTGGTCCATGTCGCCGTGCATGGCGGAGACAGTGAAGTCACGGGCAGTGAGCTTGTCGGTGAGCCAGTCGACCTTTCTGCGGGTGTTGCAGAAGATGACGGCTTGGGTGATGGTGACGGTTTCGTACAAGTCGGACAGGGTGTCGAGCTTCCAGTCCTCCTTCTCGACGGCAATGTAGAACTGCTTGATACCTTCAAGGGTAAGCTCGTCCTTCTTGACGAGAATGCGGACGGGGTCGCGCATGAACTTGGTGGTGACCTCGAGGACGTCCTGGGGCATGGTGGCGGACAGAAGGACAACCTGAGTGGACTGGGGCAGGAGCTGGAAGATGTCGTAGATCTGCTCGGTGAAACCGCGAGACAACATCTCGTCGGCCTCGTCGAGGACGAACATCTTCATGTGGTCGGTCTTGAGGACGCGACGCTGGATCATGTCATGGACACGGCCGGGGGTACCAACAACGACCTGAGGGCCGTCCTGGAGGGCCTTCATGTCGTCGCGGACACTAGTACCACCAATGCAGGCGTGGCACTGGATTTCCATGAAGTCACCAATGGCAACAACAACCTTCTGGATCTGCTGAGCGAGCTCACGGGTGGGGGCGAGGATAAGAGCCTGGCAGGCCTTGACGCTGGAGTCGATCTTCTGGAGGGTGGAGATGGAGAAGGTAGCCGTTTTACCGGTACCGGACTGAGCCTGGGCAATGACATCGTTGCCTGGATAATATGTCAGCTGCAAGTTCTGATTGTGGTGCGGGCAGCGCAAATTGTTTGTGGAGGGGCAAACTCACCCTTGATGACGGGCATGATGGCGCGCTGCTGGATAGCAGAAGGACGCTCGAAACCATAGGCGTAGACTCCACGGAGGAGCTCAGGCTTCAGGTTCATGTTGTCGAAGGAGTCGGTGACTTCATCGTAGTTGGACTCGATCTGGCCTGCGCGGGGTTGGTTAGCGTGCGCTCTAGGGTTTTGCAAGTGAGGCGTTTATCGCTATCGTTGTCGCTGTTTCACTGCGGGGGGGAGGGCGCATTTTCGCACAGCAGCAGCAGCGGCGGCGGCGTCGAAGCCTCTTAGGGAGAAAGAAAGAACTTACCCTCGGGCACATCCTCAAGACCTTTGTCAGCCATGATTGCGACTGGAGAAGAGCGACTACTGGTGCTGGACCGTAGTCGAAGAGTTGCTCGTGGCGGGGTTGAAGCGGGGGGATCCTCTGGATGCCGCCGCTATAGGAGAGTGGTTGTTGTGGAAGAAAAACTAGATACCAGATCCTCTGCGCGAGAATCAAGTGGGTATCTAGGAATGAAGTGTGTCTTTTGTGTTGTGGTGGATTTGGTGATGATGAGGGACAGAAGGTGGGTGGGCAGCCGACGTTATAAGCAGGAGCCACCTGAGATTTTTTTCCAGGTGCTAGCGCCAAAATCTCGCTAAGACAAGCCAAAATCCTCGTCGATGCTTGCAGACGTACGAATACACTGGGCCTAGTCGCCCGCAAATAATTGTCTGGAGTACTATTATCCAAGGCCCACGCCCCAGGCCTGATCAATGACTCCTTCCTGATCCCCGTGATTGCATCTGAACCTCGCGGTTTGCGCCCGTGGAGCCGTCTGCGCAGTGTATACAGTGTACACGAAGTTTTGTTTCTACGCTCTTCTTCACAATGGCCCCCGGCATCCTAGACCTCCCCGGCATCGCGACTGCCGAATCACGGCCCTCGAAAAAGCTCAAGACGTGTGCAGTGGCAACAGCCGACACTGACGATGAGGATGTCGCCGTCGCCGCCACCGCAGTCCCCTCGCATCCCTTGGGCATCAAGCCGGCCGGCAATGCCTATACCGCCCGCGACAACATCAAGTCGAGATGCGGCCTCTTTGCCAGCCTTCCTGATGAGCTGCTGAGCCACATTCTTGAGTCATTCGATGCTGATGTCCTGGTACGCCTGGGCAGAACCTGCCGTGCCCTCTATGCTTACACCAGACTGGACGAGTTGTGGAGAGCCTTATTCGTCAAGTAAGTACCAACCACGGTCGACACATGCATGGACTATTTTCTTCGCCTCTTGTCATTTTCTCGATTACATCTCCACCATGTTTCCCATCAGATGATATGCAGGATGGATTTGTTCCTTGCAGGCTATCTGAACACGCTGTCTGAGCACGCTGCACGATGTCTGTCTGCTATGACTGTCCTTGGTCGCCTTGTGGTTATACAGCTGCAGCCTGCGCAATCACGAGCTCAGTGCACACGTAGCGGTATGACTCAACTGGTGAAACCTCCGGCCGTGGACTAGACATTTTGCCTGTTTCTTTGTCTTTTCTCACATGTCCCCTACTAGGGATTGGATCGAGGTCGACCGTTGGCGGTAAGCGTCAACGATTACCGAATCCGACAGTCTGATTGGCTATCCCGTATAGGCTAGCGTGTTTCTTACTTGGAGCCGCCTTCCTCTAGTCAAACACTGCCAATGATCCAGCGTACGCAATAGCTGATTTGCAAATAGTTCTCCAGCCCAAGACTTTGAATGGCGCGGAACTTGGCGAGCGACATATCTCAAGATTCCTAAGGAGCATGTCGCCTCCATTCCCTGCAAAAACCTCTTCTCAGACACTCTGTACCGCCCGTTCCAATGTGCCCACACACCTCTCAACCTCTATGCACTCAACATTCCAAAGCATAATGAGATAGCTCGACTGTCAGATCTGACTTACGAAGAATATGCGGAGGCTTGGGTAAACAAACCCTTTATCCTCACTACACCTGTCAAACAATGGCCCGTGTACGGCACCTGGACACCAGAATACCTACTTGGAAAATTCCCAGAAACAAAGTTCAGGGCTGAAGCAGTCGACTGGCCAATGAAAAAGTACATGTCCTACATGCACGACAACGCCGACGAGTCACCTTTGTACCTTTTTGACCGCGCATTTGCAGAAAAGACTGGTATCGACACATCAGCACCACCCCACTCAAAAGAAGCAGCATACTGGAGCCCCACATGCTTTGGCGACGACCTTTTTGGCGTTCTAGGCGAAGACCGCCCAGACTGCCGCTGGATGATTATGGGCCCAAAGCGTAGTGGCTCGACATTCCACAAAGACCCTAATGCTACATCAGCGTGGAATGCTGTTCTCACAGGCAGCAAATACTGGCTGATGTTCCCCGCTGGCCCCGGCATCGAGCCGCCTCCAGGCGTCATTGTTTCAGAAGACCAGTCCGAAGTTACTTCACCACTAAGCATTGCAGAGTACATGCTGACCTTCCACGACCTCGCTCGCCAAACCCCAGGCTGCAAAGAGGGTATTTGCTATGCCGGCGAAGTCTTGCATGTGCCCTCTGGGTGGTTCCACCTGGTGCTTAACCTCGAAGACAGTCTGGCGTTGACGCAGAACTTTGTCCCAAGAAAGAAATTGCCTGATGTCCTGGGGTTCCTCCGCGACCAAAGGGCAGAAGTCAGTGGCTTCACAGAGGACGTTTGCGATAGAGCCTATGAGCTCTTTGTAGAGAGGCTAGGTGAGCAGCATCCAGAATTGCTCGAGGAAGGTCTTGCGGAGTTGGAGAAGATGAAGACGAAGAGTAAAGGGAAGTGGGAACAGCTAACAAAGGGTGATGATGAGGAGCAAGAAAGTGGAGGCTTCAGCTTTGGCTTTGGCTTTGGCGGAGATGACGATGATGCTGATATCCCGTGAACACTTTAGAAAATGCAAACTTGATTGGATTTGTAAACGAAAACAAAGGTCGTGTGTCTGCGTATTACTATTGCGTCTGGGTATCGTTCCGTCATGAAATCGTAAATCATAAACGCCGTTTCGTTCATCGATGTTGTCCTCTTGTTTCCCCGCTCACTTTGCGTGATTGATAATCTCAGCATACATGTCCTCCGGTACCTTGCCGGCAAAGCTCATCGCCACACCTATGATCTTCTGAGCATTCAAGCCGGGCAAATTACGCAGAATAGTGTTGGGACTGTAACCCGGGTGTTAGCATGCAATCGACCGAAAGAAGAGAGGATCTCCTTACCTAGGGCTGGTCAGAATATCCGCACGAATAACAACCAACTGAGCAACAATGCACAAGATGTTCAAATGCGGACCATAGGCAAAAAGAAAGTCCCAGAGCTGCAGAACCTCAGGCAGAGGCGGCGTACACGCACACATGGTCAACACAGAGGCAAAAGCATAGATCCTCGCCTCCATATGGTGCGCCATGAGGTACTCGTAAAGCTTGGGATCCACAACCTCGAGCACTCTATCCACAAGCGCCAATCCCTTGTGCACGCCCTCCATGGATCCGCGCACATAGCCAGGACACTCTTGCGTAATCAACTTCTCAAAGCCCGTAAACGCCTCGACCTCGCTGCGGGCGGCGTACAGAAAAGGTCCGCACAGCACATTCATGCCCTGCACATAGCCAATCTGCTCCGCGTCATTCGTCGTCGACGCCTCTGTGCGCGCGCCCCCCGTCCGCGACATCATGGTCGAAGTGTCTGGGCTGCCGCCGAACTCTGATAGCGTGGGGGGCGACTGCCACCCATTGACACGTGCCTCGTGCGCATCGTTGAGCCGCCACGCCACGGCGTTGAGGACTCGCGTAATGCTGTTTTGCGTGACGCGGCGCCGGAAGAGGGGATCGCCTTGGAAGGTGCGGAACGTGTCGTTTTGGATTTTGGCATGCGCAGGCGAGGCGCCTTGTCGGACGAGGTCGAGGTACACGTCTGTACGGAGCGGCGGCGCGTTGAGCAGGATCAGCCAGATGTAGATGCGTAGTTCCGACTGTTTTTATGGTGAACATGACGTTGAATTAGCCTTTTTTTTGCGGATTCACAGAGACACACGGGGGCTTGAGCGCTTCTTTTTTTCTCCATGCTTTGCCACGCATACCGCCTGTTTCCATTGTTGTGGCTTCTTTATTTTCGTGGGGCTGGGAAAGGGGGCGCGCGCGCAGAGCGAGCGGCGGGACAGCAACGTACCATGCCCTCGCTGTTTGCGGGAATGCCTTTGGTCAGGATTGTGTAACGCAATTCTTGGAGGTACTCCTCCGGGTCGCTTGCAGAAGCTCCCTTGAGGAGCAGCATGTCCAAATTCGTCATTCTTGGAGGGAGGGGGTGTGAAGAGCGTTTGCAAGCGATTGGACTCGACCCGTGTTTGGAAGTTTGGTTTGGCGTTTCTCGCCTGCCAGTCGGCAACAGTACTACGTAGTAGTCACGGCCTTGGCGCGCCGCCAGCCTCTCATACGCGTTTCGAGGGTATCATGTTCCGTTCCGTCTCTGTTTCGTTCTTACTGTACAGACGGAACGTCTTATTCTGCCTACGGCAAGCTTGCTTCTTCTTGTCCTCGATGCTAAGGCTTTTTGCCAATTGTTAATCTGGAATGCAAAAACAAAAAATTGGAATGCACTACATCGTGAGGTCTTGGCTGTACTTGTGTCATTTCAACATGCAATGACAAATTCCGTAACAATAACAGCGACCTAAAAGACTACCAAGCCCGCCTATGTAATCCTGTTTGACCCATGTCAACTGTATCCCTAATCCCACCCCCCAAGCCAAG